GACTGCCCAGAGAATAAACAGGTCTGACCTGGAGAGGGTGAAACCAAGTTGTTCTTTGGAGGCAATGGTTTTGAAGATCTATCTTACATACTTTGAGCATAGTGTCAGGAAAGAGCAGTCCTTGGAGAATGACACCCTGTTTGGAAGCACAGGAGAGGAAGCTCCTGGATGAGATGGATTGCCACAGAGCCTGGGGTAATAGGAGCAGGTGAGTCTGAGACGGTGACATTAGCTCAGGATAGAGCAGGGTTCACAGTACTGTGTAACATGTTTCCATGAGTTGCAGTCAACTCAACAGCACGTAAAAATAACAAGATCATAAAAAACCCCTAGTAAAATAATCTCCTCAGACGATGAAATAACATTTGGTAAAATTCAACTTTTGAATAATAATATTTAAGAAACAGAAATTACTATAATTTAGAGGGCTTTCTCTTTAGCAAAAAAATATAAAGATCAATTGAATCTTTAGTATCAAATGTTGAAACTATAAAAATCTTTTATTGGTTAAAAAAATACAGGATTGGACATGAGTGTAATGGAAGTAACTCTATTTGAAAAGCCACCATCTGACATTAAAAATTACTATTTTTCTATGGTTTTAAATTGTCATTTTCTATTTTGAGCAATTACATATTATTAATGTGATAATTTGTTGTTGTTATGTGCCATCAAGTTGCCTGAGACTCTTAGCAACCTTATGTACAACAGTCCTACACCCTGCTCTGTCCCTTGCCAATTTTATTGTCTCTGACACACCCACCTCCATTACCCCAGTCACTGAGTCAATCCATCTCAGTGAGAGTCTTCTACCTTTGCTGTCCCTCCACCCTCCCAAGCATGACGTCTCTCTCCAAGGACTAGTTTGCTTCTTTTTCTGGTAGTTCATGATAGTTCAATATTCTTTGCCAGCACCACTATTCAAAAAGGCTTTAATTCTTCTTCAGTCTTCCTTATTCATTATCCAACTTGCAGATGCAAATAAAACAAGAGAAAAAGGCTACGGCGTTGGTTAGGTGAACTTTAGCCTTTAAACTGACATCCTTGCTCTACTGCACTTTAAAGAGGTCGTTGAGAGCAGATTTTCTCAATGTAATATGCCTTTTAACTTCTTGACTGCTGCTACTGTGGATATAGATTACGGATTCAATAAAATGAACCCTCTTAACAATTTCAATCTTTTCTTCATCTATCATGATGCTTTATTGGTGCAGCTTCATCTATCATGCTTTACTAGTGCAAGCCATGAGGCTTTATTTTCATGATGTGGAGGTTTTATCTATATTGAAAGCTATAGTCTTTGATTTTCTTCAATATGTGCTTCAAGTTCTTCATTTTTTGGCAAACAATGTTGTGCAATCTGCATAATGTAGGTATGTAATAATTATACTTTAAAAGTATGTCTGCTTTCCTTAATTTTTTATGTTGTTTTACCTTCCAGTTTTTTAATTTTTCTGTTGTTGAGAACTTATGTAGCAAAACAAAATCATTCAACATTTTCCACATAGACCATTTAGTGACAGAGTCTTCAGGCTGTGCAACCATTTTCATCCTCCTTTTCTCAGATGTTCTTTCTCTATTAGCATAAACTTCTAAGGTTTCAACCTTATGTTTCAAGGGTTTTTTTGGTCAATTTTATTCCATTAAAAGAGCATAATGCTAAAGGCACAGTTTAAAAAAACCAAAAAACAACTTAAACTAAACAACTGCTTGGCTTTAAGAACACTCTAGGACTAAAAAATAGTCTAAGTTTTAAAGATTATCTCAGGACAATAATATCAGATGTTCACCCAGCACACCTGGCTACAGTAAGTCGATAGGCCATGAAAATTTAAGTTCTGTTCTTCATTTCTTCTGTATTGATTAAGATTCTCCAGTAGAATCTTTAACTGAAATAGTCATAAATGGTAGTTGAGTATCATCCAATTCTTCTGGTCTCATGGCAAAAACAGATGGCTGTTCATGGAAGCAATCAGCCATACATTCCATGTTTTTTCCTTTTCTGGCTCTCTTTCTTCCTCTGTTGTTTCAGGTGAGTAGAGATCAACTGTTGTGTTCTGGATGGCTGCTTGTAGGCTTTTAAGATCCCAGACGCTATGCAATAAACTAGGAAGTGGAACATGTTATTAAGCCAATTATCTGGAATGTCTCATGAAACCATGACCCCTAAACATTCAAAACAGGAAACCAAATGCCCAGATTTCTGGTTATACATAAGGAGCCTCAGCAATAGCTTTTCCCCATGTCCCCCAAGCTGGGGGTGGAGGTGGGTAGGTTATTGTTAGAAATGCACTTATTTATGGTTTTTTTTTGAGGGTAAACAGTAATGAGGTTTATTAGAAAGTTACATTCCCAAAGGGAGAGCCCTTCCTCCTTGAAAGCAGATAAGGAGAAAAGGCCTACAAAAGCATTTATTGTGTAACTTCTTCCAGGTGCAAAGCTTACTGATAGCAATTGGCAGTGTAATCCTTAATCAATATGATTTTCCATTATCATTAAACCCTAGTTATTGCCATGTGCTGTTTAAAGTACCATTAAGGCTGGTAACCATTAATAAATCTTGGTCTCTATTTGTCTTTTCATATAAGTGAGATCATATAGTATTTATGCTTCTGTGACTGACTTAAGTCATTCAGCATTATGTGTTTCATATCCATCACTGTAGCTTGCATCAAGGCTTTATTTTTCCTACTGGCTGAGTATTTCATTGTATGTAAGCACATTTTTTTATCCACTCATATTTTGACAAGGGAGCTTCAGTGGATTGTTGTTATGTGTTCTTGAGTCACCTGCGACTCATAGCGACCCTATGTACAACAGCCCTAAACCCTGCTCTATCCTGTGCCAACATCACTGTCTCTAACACACCTACCCCGATTACACCAGTCACTGAATCAATCCACCTCATAGAGGGTCTTCCCCTCCTGCGCTGTCCCTCCACTCTCTCAAGCATGACTAAAGTATGTCAGATGACGTTTGAGAATCCTTGTCTACAAGGAGCAGCATGGTTTAACCCTATCTAGGAAGAACCTTTTTGTTTTCTTAGCAGTCCATGGTATATTCAATACTCTTCTCCAGCACCACAGCTCAAAGGCATCAATTCTCCTTCTGTCCTCCCTAGTCATTGTTCAGCTCTCTGATATATAGCAAGGGACTGCAAAGATCATGGTCTGTATCAGGTGCACCTTAGTCTCTAGAGTGACACCATTGCTCTTCAGTACCTTGGAAAGGTCCCTAACAGCAGACTTCTGATAGCAATATGTCTTTTAATGTCCTAGCTGCTGGTGCTAAGAATGTTGACTGTGGAGCCAAGCAAACTAAAGCTGTGAACAGTCTCAATCTCTTCCCCATCCATCCTGATGCTGCCAACTGGCCTAGTGGTGAGAATCTTTGTTTTCTTGTTATTGAGTCTCAATCCATATTAAAGGCTGCAATCCTTGACCTTCTGCAGCAAGTGCTTCAGGTCCTCCTTAGTTTGAGCAAGCAGGGTTGTGTTATCTGCATAATGCAGATTATTGATGAATCTTCCTCCAGTCCTGATGCCACACTTCTCCTCATACAGCCCAGCCTCCCAGATAATCTGTTCTGCATACAGGTTGAAAAGGTATGGAGATAGGAGAGACAGGACACACCCCTGGCGTACACCCTTCCCAACTGTGAACCATGCAGTGTTCCCTTGTTCTGTTCTGACGACTGCCTCCTGGTCTAAGTATAGGTTTCACATAAGTATGATCAAGCATTCTGGGATTCCCATTCTTTTCAGAGTCAGTTACAGTTTGTTGTGATCCACAAATGTCTTTGCATAATCAATGAAACACAGATAAGCATTCCTTTGGTACTCCATGCTTTCAGCCATGATCCAGCTAACATTAGTTACTATATCCCTAGTGCCATGACCCCTTCTAAACCCAGTCTGTACTTCTGGCAGTTCTCTGATGTGCAGTCCTAGTCATTTTTGGATAATCTTCAGCAGAATCTCGCTTGCAAGTGATATCGATGAATTGTGCTTTTAACTCAAAGGTATGCATTTCAAATTCATTAGCTCCTTCAGAGGAAAACAGATGGGCAGTCTCCTTCCAGGCAACTGACTGCCTCTGAAAACCTGTTGGAGGGGTCAGCTGGGGATTGATTCTGACTGGATAGTACACAACAACATCATCTGTTGATGAGGATTTAGGTTGTCTCCACCTTTTGACTATTGAGAATAGGATTGTAATGAACACTTATGTACAAGGCTCTGTGTGTACATCTAAAATGTTTTAAATAGATTCTTACTCTTAACAGAATGTCTTAAAAAGCAAAAATCAATTTTCCCCTTTTTCCCAACTAATTAATTTTATTATTACCTCAGAATAAACAATGTTATATTTTTTTGTATCCTTCCTCACATATTCTTCACATATTGAGCAAATATGCAAGATATTTCCCCCTTTATGTAACAGACACATATAGTCCCTTATCCCTTAGTTAAAGGATGTTTATTTACCTTAAAGTGGCTCCCTCAGTCTCAATCAAATCTCCATCTTTTAGGTAAACATAGTGCTGTTCTCCATTTCCTATAATTTCTTCCTTGTGAGGATTACGTGGAAGTTTTTTAATGCAGTATGTGGTGTCTAGAGATAAAACATGTAAATATATTGTCACACTTTGAATTCAGCTCTTTTAAAATATTTTTACTGGTTGGCATATGTTCATATACATTGTACTTCATGTACACACTGTGTTTCGTTTATGTACAGTGAAAAATAAATGTATTTTACATAATTCCTATTCATTTATTCCTGTTATTTCCCCATATTTTTTAAGTCCTCACTGAATCTTTTTTATTCTTCATCTGCCCACTAATTCCTGTTACCAAAGTGTTAGCCATCCTTCCCTCTTTATACATTTATACACATTGTACTCAGTCATCCTATTTTCATAACATATTCTGGCTGATATTGTGCTCATGTGAAACTTATACCCCAATAGGCTGCTGTGTAAACAGAGCATAGGAACACTGTACAGTTTAAAATTAGGAGGGGATTGTCAGGGTTGTATTCTCTCTCCATACCTATTCAATATGTATGCTGAGCAAATTATTCAAGAAGCTGGACTCTATGAAGAGGAATGTGGCATCAGGAATGGAGGAAGATTCATCAATAACCTGTGTTATGCAGATGACACAACCTTGCTTGCTCAAAGTGAGGAGGACTTGAAGCACTTGTTGCAGAGGATCAAGGAATGCAATCTTCCATATGGATTGAATCTCAATGTCAAGAAAATAAAGATTCTTACCTTTTGACCGACAGGCAACATTATGGTGGATTGAGAAGAGACTGAAACTGTCAACAACTTTATCTTACTTGGAGCCATAAGTAACATCCTTAGTACCAGCAGTCAGGAAATGAGGAGAAACAAGCACTGGGAAAGTCTGCAGTCAGGGACCTCTCCAAATTACTGAAGAGTAATGATGTCTGTATGAGGACTAAGGTGCATGGGATTCAGGCCATAGTCTTTCTGATCACTTGCTATGCATCTGAGAGCTTGACAATGAATAAGAATGACACAAGAATTGATGCCTTTGAGCTATGGTGTTGGAGAAGAGCACTGTAATATCCCATGTACAGCCAAGAGAATGAACAAATATGTCTTGGAGAAGGTGCAGCCAGAGTGCTCTTTGGAAGTAAGAATGATAAGGCCTTGCCTTGCATGCCTGGGGGTATGTTGCTAGGAGGGGCATTTCCTTGGAGAGAGACATGATGCTAGGAAGGGTGGAAGGAGAATCAGCAAAGGAGAGGAAGACCCTCAACCATATGGATTGACACCGTAACTGTTACAATGGCCTCTTATGTGTGAGGATGGTGCAGGATAGGTTCAGATTTTTTGTTCATAAGGTCGTTATCAGTTGTACTTGACTCAACAGCACCTAACAACAATCTTATTTTTAAAATAATGATCGTAATGCAGTATTTGTGCTTATGAGACTGAGTTTACTCAGCATAATGCTCTCTAGACTCTCCCAAGTTATATAGTATTTTTCAAAATCATTGCTCCTTACTACTGTGTAGTATTCAATGGTATGAATGTACACCAATTTCTCAATCCATGTGTTTGCTAAAGGACATTTGTTTCCATTTTCTTATTACTGAGAATAACACTACTATGAATGCAGGTGTACATAATTCCATTTGGGTCTCAGTTCTCTTTTCCTTGTTGTATATTCCTAGCAGTAGAACAACTGGATCATATGGGATTTCTAGGTTCAGCTTTTTTAGGAATTGCCAAACTGTCCTCCAGAGTGGCTGTACTCTTTTACAATCCCAGTAGTAGTGCATGAGAGTTCCAACCTCTCCATATCCTCTCCAACATGTACTGCTTGCTTTGTTAACATGTACTATTAAACTTACTACTGCTACAAGGATGAGATACTATCTCACTGTTGTTTTGATTTGCATCTCTCTGATTGCCAGTAATTTTGAACATGTATCTACTGGCCATCTAAATGTTTATGTTGTTAAGCAAATGTTTATTGTTAAAAATGGCTTTCCTAGTCACTGACTTTGAAATGTGAATGAATGGGAATACGTGAATAAGGTGTGTTAGCCTATCCACAGAAAACTGGCTTGTCTTACCACCAATTTGAGCAGTTTCAGCAGAAGACTTGGGGACTCTCATTACTAGCAAAGAAGCAGGAGAGAATTCAGCCCTTCAGGGCCAGATTTTGAGCCACACTCCTTAAAGAGCAGCAGGAGCAGACAACTCAGAGAACCAGAGACCTGGCATGAGACAGAGTTGACCTTGGAACTGCTACCCTATGGAACCAGAGCTAAGAATCTTTGCCCAAGTTTTCTGGAAGACTAGGAAGGAGAACCATGATTGGCAGGACAAAGAGTTCTGTAACACTGTAACGTAGTTGTGAGACTGAGGGGACTGTGAGCAAGCTTTGGAATCTGTCCTCACTGAGAAACTGTATCCTATTGCCCCTTTCCTAATAAACCTAGTAAATACTAAGTATGATTCTGTGTGCTCTGGGCACTACTGCAATGATTTTTGACCCAGTGGAATAGTAACTATTCACGTTCCTTTACTGTCATAGGATTTTCAGAGGCCTGTTATTTAAGAAATAGATGGCCAATCCTGCTTCCTAGTCTGTCTTAATCTGGGAGCTCTACTTAAACCTGTCTACCATGGGTAACCCTTTTGGCATTTGTTACACTAGTAGCATAGCTTTCAGTATTACAGAAACCCACAAGTTATCTCAGTACAGCAAACTGACAATCAAGTGCTGTACCACTTGTCGGAAAGCCATTGGGTTGGCAAAGGAGAGGAAGACCTTAACCAGGTGGAGTAACACAGTGACTGCTGCAATGGGCTCTAGTGCGTTGGGAAGTGTGAGGTTGGCATGGGAAAGGACAGGGTTCAGATCTGTTGTTCACAGGGTTGCTATGGGTCATACTTTACTCAACAGTACCTAACAATAACAATAGAATAGTAGGACCAGTGTTGTAATTAGTATAAAGAAGTGCAGGAGCATGGGGGATATGTGTGAACTCATGGGAATTGGTTTTGTGCTGTGAATAATGATGATGATGATGATGATGATGATGGGGAAGTTCCCCTTATGGACTTCCACACATGTGGTCATTTTCCTTTTACAATCTTTCTTTGTAAAGAGTCTTTCACCCATTTTTAAAATTTTTATTGGGTTATCAGCTGTCTTCTTGTAGAAGCCCTGTAGTATCCTATAGTTACTGCACTCCTGTCTGAAATGTGATTGTCAAGTATTTTTCCTCTGTAAGCTTTCTTTAGAAACTTTTGATGCACACAGTGACTTGATTTTTAGAAGGTCCCATTTGTCAAATTCATACTCTCCTGGTTGTGCATTTCTGGCTACATTTGCAAGCCTTTTTATGGCACAGGGTAAGTCTTTTAAGTTTGGTCTCATTTTGTCTCGTAATCCTTATGCCTTTGGGTTTCAATCCTAGGTCTCTGATTCACCTTGAGTTGATTTTTGTGTATGGTGTGGGATGTGGATCCTTTTTCACAGGATAGATAAATATTCAGGTAGATGTTCGGTTTTGTCAGCACCATTTATTGAAGAGTTTGTCATCTGCCCATGTAAAAGGCTTTGTTTCCTTGTCAAACATCAACTGACCGTAGGTAGATAGGTTAACTTCTGGGTTCTCAATTCTATTCCATAGGTCTATGTGTCTGTCATTGTGCCAACAGTATGCTGTATTGGTTACTACAGCTGTGTGGTAGGTTTTTTTTTTTTTTCCCCATATCAGAGGGTGTATGCCCTCCACTTTTTAATTTTTCATTACAACTTTGCTTACTTAAGGCCTCTTTCCAAATAAACCTGTCAATTGCCTTTTTATCTCTTTGAAAAATTAGTTTGGTACCTGAATTGGAATTGTGTTGAACATGTACATTTCTTTGGTAGGTTTGTCATTTTCACAAATTTGGGCCTTACCCACAAACAGGAACAATTTTTCCTTTCAGTTAAGTCTCTTATTGTTTCTTGTAGTAGTGTTTTGTAGTTTTTCTTATAAAGGTCTTTTGTGTTTCCTGTTGCTCTTTGCTGTCAAGTTGGAAATGACCCATAGCGGTGGGTTTTCAGAGGCAGTTAATCAGATAGGTGGAGACTGCTCATCCTTCTCTCCCATGAAGAAGCTTGTGGATTCTAACCATGGGCCTTTGAAATGTCAGTGCAGCTTCTTACCACTAGGCCAGCAAAGTCTCTAGTTAGGTTTATTCCCAAGCATTTAATCTTGTGGTTGGCTTTTGTACATGGAATTGCTTTCCTAGTTTTCTCTCTATGCTTTGTTACTGTGGAGAAATCCTACTTATTTCTGTATATTGAGCTGCTATCTTACTAAATTGGTCTAGCTGTTGTTGTTGATTGCCATCGAGTTGAGCACAACTCATAGGGAGCCTATGAACAAAAAGCTAGAAGCTTTCCTAGTAATTATCAACATTTATCAAGGTTCATAGATTTTTCAGAGGCATGTTGTTTAGGAATTGGATGCCACTTGTAGGATTAATATTTTTTTGTTGTTGCTGTTGAGTATCTGAGATTTTCTGTGTATACTGTCCCATCATCCAACTGTTTGCCAATTTGGATGCCTTATTTCCTTCCAGTACAAGAATGAATAGGAACAGTGGTAATGGGCATCCCTATCTGGTTGCTGTTTGTAGGGGGAATACCTTTAACCTTTCTCCATTGGGAATGTTGTTGGCTTTTGGCTTTGTGTATATACTTATCACTATGTTGAGGAAATTCCCTTCTAGTCCTATTTTGTTCAGTGTTGACTAGAAGGGATGTTGGATTTTGTCAAAGGCATTTTCTGCATTAATTAATAGTATCGTGTGGTTCTTGTTCTTTGCTCTGTTAATGTGAAGAACTACGTTGTTTTTCTTATGTTGAACAATCTTTGTATACCTGTTATGAATCCCACTTGGTAATGATGAATTCTTTTTTTGATATATTGTTGGATTCTATTGGCCAGGATTTGGTTAAGAGGTTTTTGTTTTGTTTTTAAATGTAGTTTTTATTTTACACGGATTAATTTACAAAGTTTGAATATACTGTTTTTCATACAAGAGTCTTCCCATTTCCTTCACCTCCCCC